CTTGAATTTATCGTTGTGCAATCTGGATAAGCTTATGGTGCAAGTCTCAAGTCTGTAGCACTAACTGTTCGTGAGGCATGCCTGCATGAAGGCGTAAAATGAAAAAAAACGCCCGGTATACTGGGTGGATAAAAAATAAAGGGAAAAGGGGCTCGGTTTAATGTGCTCAGTCTTACTATTTAAAATGTAGACAAACCAAATTTGTCTTCTGCGCATCAAAAGGGGGTGCTTTCCCCTACCCACAATTTTTTATCCACCGAGTAGAGATATTTACTTTTTATCTTCCATTCGGTTTTTTGAAATTAAAACTCGGGTTTCTTAATCCAGGATACATGGTGACTTGATAGATTCTGTCGATTTGGAAATGTCTAAGTAGAGTTGGCCAATTGCTTTTGACGTTATGGAACCTATATCCCCGTTCATTTTGACCAGTTGAGACTTTTAACATGTTATGAAATTGATCTCTGGAACAATTTTCTACATCTACCGAAAAATTGCGAAAGTTAAGTGTTTTGGTAACACAGGGCTAATTACTCTCAATTACTTCACGTTTCATTCAATATATTGAGAACCAAACACGCTAGGTTATGTATATTCAATTCATTGTTATTCAATTCAATGTATATTCATTCACATGCTTTTGAGAATTGAAGAACAATTTCGAAGTTTCTAAATAACTTCCAGAAGTCGTTTGAAGGTTAAATGAACAAATGACCTTGAATGACCTTGAAACTTCGAAAAAAATTGTTTTTCGATCCTAAGAAGAATAACGTTCAAATATTTGGCCTTTTTACCATTTCAAGCTGAGTCTTTTTGATTTTGGTTTTGACATTGTCTTTTCAAGTTGCTATAATGAACATTGGAAAGTTGCCTGATGACTGCTTATTATATATTTTCCATCTTTTCTTTCGTTTTGAGACTCTTCTGAATTGTTCTGGCGGTGAGTAAAGTTTGCAATACAAACCTTATGTACTATCGAATAAACAGCTTATTTGACTACTCACCAAGTATCGAATTATGTCCCGAGAATCGCGTAAGTATATAAGTAACCTAGCATATCTGGTTCTTCAGATATTAAATAAGACGTGAAGTAATTGAGGCTGAATCGCCCTTTACTGTTGCTGTAGCCATGATGGTCGAATAGTTTTAGGAACGAATTAACATCAAATTAACTGTATCGTTCAGTTATAAGATAAAATTATCTAACAAATCATCAATATCCACAAGGAATCTGCATGAATCCACTTGTTGAGATTAATTTACGATCCAAGTCTATTATTGGATTGGATTCTCATGACATTTTCAATTGCAATGAATAAATTGTAAGGCAAAGAGTGAAGTTTATTCAATCATCTGTGTGATAAATTACTGTCAAATGTAATATTGTAAAGTTATCATCAATGATAATGTCAATATATTGGTTAGGAAAAATGTTTGATGTTGAGAGAAAGAAGTTGATTATGAAAAATGAAAATAAAGAGAAGGAGGAAAAGTGATGAATGAGTTTTGCTTGCAACTGGATTGGTCAACTGGATTGTCCATGGTAATGATTATAATCAAAAAAGATGAAGATGAAAAGTTGATAAAAGGCTTGCAATGAATTACAATTTTCACATGAAAATTAATGAACAAAAAGATTTTGCCAAATCTTCTCAATCCAATTTTCATCTCTACTTTAATAGTTTTAAACCTTTCCCATTCGTCCAGAATTTCATAAATACTCGACTTGAATCTGAAAATTATGATTCTTTCAACTGGAAAAGGATAAATTTCCTGATTGACTACTTAAACTGTTTTTGTCGGTTTGCCCATCATGGCTGTGAAATGATACAAAGTAAAGGATAGACTTTTGTTATAACCAATTGTCATCTGCTATTCAGAGTAAAATAGATAGAAATCAATCTTATTTTTCTGTTAAAATATTTTCTCAAGCCTTCAGAATCGTCAGATTGTTCACCATTTCAATTGAAATTTCATCTTCCTTTAGTTTTACCAAACATTCCTTGCTGAAAAGGCTTATTTGAAGGCAAAAAAGCAATCGATTTCCATTCACTTTTTGTCAATCCAAATTTTAGTCTAATTGAATTGCTATTGGCAAACAAAAAAAGGTTCAACTCAATGATTTGAAGAAAAAGGCTGAAAGAGAAAAGAGTTTAAAATGAAATTTGAGAAAACATTGAATCCAAACTGATCTGTATCATGGATGAGCATTTCAATTGAAACATTTTCAAATTACAATTTGAATAGACCAGAAATTATCACAATTGATGTTGCTTCAACATTTGAAATTGGGTTACAAAGATTGTCTAGTTTCAAAGATTGTAAACATTGTAAAAAATGGATAAAAATGTAACTTTTGATTGAACGGAAAGACACTAAATGATGACCAAACCAGTGGACAGTAAACAATATTTATCGAACCATCGAGACAGCAAATTTTTCTGTTCAAATCTGAAAATAAATAAGTTACAAGATTTGATGAAATGTGAAGGATAAAGGAAAACTGACAAAGTAAAATTATCATTCAAATTTTGGTGAAAATTCAACTCTCAGAGGTAGCTAGACAAATAGTGGAGTGAAAAGAGGAAAGATGGTGAAGATGGTGATCATGAGGAAGATGGTGAATGAGAAATTGAAAAGATGGCAAAAATTTGGTGGAAAAAGGAAGAAAATAAAATGCAAAAATTTGCTTCTTTTTGTGTCTTCATTCTCTTCATAATTCAGATCACTGAACCATATTTTTCTTCGCCATTCTCTTCATCTTAACCGATATTTTTGTTCAATTTTCATCTTCTCTTCCTTCTCTATCTTTTTTTCATTTCAATACATTTTTTAGATTCAACATTATAATGTTGAATCAGTCAAATGAGTGAATGAGTGAAAAGTCATATATGACTTTTCACTCAACAATTGTTAACCTCAAATTGGTGAAGAAATGGGAAAATGATGAATCAAAAGATCACTTTAAAGGTAAACCAGTTTTAAAGCTTATAACCGTTTCTTTTGTTCACATTCAATATCCTTAATTGTTCAACTCTAACTCTGGTTAACCTGAAAATTGGAACAAATTGAACCCAAATTTGTTGACTTTAATCATTAAAATCATTCATTTCTATGTTTACATTTTCCACTTGAAATGCTCAATGAAAATGGCTTTTCAAATCGACTCCAATGATGAACTTTGTATTGAACTGAGATTTTTTCCTCTTTCTGTCCATTCCAATTTACAATAAAACATCGTTACTGGACATGAAAAATGGAATCACATTTCATCGAGAATGTAAATTATTATTGCAGTTGAATTTGTATTGATTGTGTTTTTTTGGGTTAAAATCTGGTCATTTTGTTTTGAACTAAATTTGGCTTTTCAAATGAAAAATCATTGGCAAAAATGTTTTCAAGTCATCATCATTTTCAACTCATCTTATCGTTTGCTTAGAAACAGTGGCTTTAAAAGTCCATTTTAAAAATGGTCATCGTTTTCGTGAAATTTTATTGTTAACTCGTTTTGATTAACTTTTCATGGTTCATTGTAACCTCCCAAACTATCGTTATTATTATTAAATTCAATATGAGAAGTAACTGTTAAAAGAAAAATCAAAATGAAGAAAATGTCTTTTCAGGTTTCAGAAGCTTAAAAAGGGAAAAGAAATGGACAAAAAAGTAAATATAAAAATCAATGAAGTCCATTTAATTGGTCAACATTTTGGTTTTACTTTTGCTTTTGTAACTGGATACAATTGCCAAACATATTAAATATCTTCATCATCTTCTGCTTCACATCTGTTCAATTGACATCATGCGGTGTTTCATGAAATCAATCGGATATCGTTCATTTAAACTCATCGGCTTTAAACAACAAATGATTCAAACTCAAACTTCTTGTTTCAACTTTACTCTCACATCAACATCATCTTTATGATTCCCTTTATGTTTCCGGTGCTTTTCCAGTTCAATTCAGGTTTTTTTACTTTACCATGTTCTTTGACTATAAAAATCAATGGTCAGGCTTAAAGACAATTGTTTTATCTTGTTTCATTGACACAAAAAATATCATCATGTGAACCTGAAAAAAAGACATTTATGTTCTGTAAGATTAACAAAACAAGAAGATTAGCTTTTTGATTCCTTTCTCTCCAAATGTAATCATATTAATAATAATAATGGTTGTACGCTTCAAGATTTTGACTGGGATCTGATAAACTAGTTCTTTTTGGCAACTACAATTGTTCATGGTTAATGTTCAAAATTTAAAAGTGTCGGTTTTAACGCAGATCATGTCAAGTTTAAGCTTTATCTTGATAGTTTTTAACCTCTTTATGTTATAATATTTTTGTAAGCATAAAACTGGTAAAAAGATTTTAGCTTCAAATTACTTATGATTCATCTGGTTTTTGCCATAGTAACGGTTTTTGTTTTGTCTGTTACGCTTTTAACCAGTTTTAGTCTTTTTTAGATTGTGATTTGTTTAATATCTTTGTTTAATTATTATCATTTAGCTAATTATGGAGAGTATCAAGTTTATTATTAGCGAGTTGAATAAAGAGCCATTCAAGAAAAATTTAAACCTGGTTACTTATGATAATCTTACAGGTGAACAAAGGATTCAAATTTTGTTTGACATCTTTCATGTTATTGATGAAACGGTAAGTCTTTTTGCTTCTAATTTTCAGTACATCATGAATTGGTTCTTTTGGTTTATTACGTGAATGCTATGAAAAATGCTTTAACAATGTGTTACAATTGAAATCGTTCAAGTTTTATCTTCGTTAATATGGAGAAAAAGTAAACTTGTAATCTTTTGCGTTTAAAAATCGACAAGTTGAACATGAAAATGTGCAACCTAAAAGAGACACTTTTGCGATTTTCCTTTCATCTTGGTATTGTTATTAATATTATTACGTTTACTTTTATCAGATTACCTCAGATATTCTAGAGATTTCCGATGGTGAAGAGGTTGTTATCAAAATAATGGAAATGCTCCGTATTCTTAAGTATACTCCACCATCTAATATTGAACCGTAAGTTGATTTAAGCTCTTTTGCATCTCTCTTTTTTTACCTTCTGATTCCTCTTTCTTGCTTTATTGTCATCATTGTAATCATCATTTGCTTTTTTATCACAATTTATCGGTAAACAATCACATAGTTCACAATTAACTGCAAGTCAGAAATCTTTGTTTGCTCACTAGGACCAGCATTACTCTAAACAAGTCCAAACAAAAAGAAGCCAGTCATAACTATATTTTTATTGCTATTGAAAATATTTTATTTTTACTCCATGTATATTAAATATCACCTTACAGGAGCTTATTCCGGCAAAATTTAATTTCCGGTGAAAGGAATACGTATACTCACATTTTCAACTACCTGTTAAGTAAACTGACTGAGCTTAAACAACGAGCTTATTTGGCACGATTTTTAGTTAAAATTGAGGTTTCCCCGGACGTGGAAGGAGACCAAGATATTGTTCAATTGTACGAACAGGTATTTAAACCATTTTGTCATGCATTTCATTCATATTCAAATGTGTTTAATTATGGATTATATTTTAATTATTTGATTTTCTTATTTACAGTATGAACAGCTGATTGAAAATTTCAAAATGGTCCACAGCATGAATCAGAATTTGAAGAAGAGTTTAAGCTCAATTCAAGAGTTACAACGCGATATTAAATCAATGGAAGATGAAAAGGAAACGATCCAGGAGAAATTGTTGGCCATCAAACGAAAGGTGAATTTTGTCTTTGTTGGTTAATTGGTCAACTTCATTTTCACCATTTGACAGGTTGATATTAATCGGGATCCTGCCTTTTTCCGTTTGGTTCAAACTTATCGAGAGGAGAAAGAAAAGAATGACAATCTTTCAAGACAAATACGTTCACAGACTATTGAAGTAAGTTATACGCTGATTCCATCTATTAGAATGATAAAACACTTAAATCTTTTATACTTTTTTCATCAATTTTTTCTTGTAGTTGGAATCTATTAATGAAAAGATGAGTAAGCTAAAGGTTCGATTGAAGACAGCTCAGATGCAACGTCAAATGGGTGTTACACCTCAAGATATTCTGGAAAAATTGGAAGAAGAAGTTGAAGCTAAACAACGTTTGGTCAAGGAAATCTTACCTCAGGAGTTAGCCTCTATAGAACGTTATATATCAGACATTCAAGAGATACAATCACAACCAGAAGTGTTACCGAATTTTCTTGAGAAAATTAAAAGTAAAATTCAAACTTTAAATCGAGAGATCAATGAAACAATTGAAAAGAAAATGTTGACTAACGATGACGCTGATGATGAAAAACTAGCGCTTGTACGACAAAGTGTAAGTTCATATTTTTTCCAATCTATTCCAAGATTCTGTCGCAATTATTAACTGAAAATCAACATTTTCGTTATAGGCAGCTCTTGTGTCCAAAAAACGTTCCAATTTACAAGAAACCGTTAAGGAAGCTGAATATGAATTGGAGGAACTCAATAAGAAGCTAGAGGAAAAAAAGCAAATGTTTGATGGAGAAGAGATACTGAAAGGAGAAGAGGTGATCACTATAATTATTACATTAATTGCCAAAGAATTAGTATTTTTCTTTGTTATTAATATAGTCTTTATAATTTGTAGTTGAAAAAATTTGTAAATGATGTCCGTAACAAAGGAAACGATTACAAACAAAAAAGACGAGAATTGGCAGAAATTCGTACAGAATCGGCCATTTTAACAAGAACTGACGAGATTTTAAAGGAAAAATGGACACGATTGCGTCAAATATT